TAGGACTGATTCCAGCAAATGCCTTTTGGATAGAGGCACTCTTTTGCTGCCCCTTCTCCATTACCTCCTGAGAAGGAGTATCTCAAATAGGTCATTGTTATGCATGGAGAGAGCCCTGTTCCCTAAGCTCCCTCGGTTTCCAAGTAAACGAGCTTTGGAGGTAAGTGAGCAAAAGAGGCTGATTCATTAGCAGCAGGGGAAATCTGTGTGCTGGAGGGGAGCCCAGCTGCCCAGAGGGATTTACGTAGTGACATGCTTCTCAAATCTTCATAGAACAAGCTGAGTGATACACACACGGCCTTGAACTGTATCACAATCACATGCTTGCTAGGCTCAGTTCTTATCTCATGGGTTTCTCTGGAGAGTATCAGTTGCTCCAGTCCTTCACAGGGCTTTAAAATTGTAAGGGAAGAAGTCACAGTGAGGTGTCCTTTAATGTGAGAAAATTCTGTATCTGTTTTCTTTTCCAAATTAGGTCACCTTGTGAGGCAGTTCTGGATGGAGTTTGTCCCTGCAGTTATGGAGGCTGTAAATAACAGAGGTATTACAACATGCCTGACAGGGTTTCATTGCGCCATCACTACTCCGTCCGAATATCATATCTCAAATTAATAACAAATTAATTTTATCTGCTGAAAGACCCCAACTGTCACCCTGCTGCCCAGAATGAGATAATTCTGGGCAGTTATCTTGGAGGAGGAATGGGGCCAGCACATTCTTCTGGCATCATTACCGAGGGCAGCACAGGGATGAGTGCTCCCCTTTGTCCAATCATCCAGAGCTCAGGGAGGAGAATTCATCTCTTTGGAGCATCTTCCACCTCTTTTTTGGCATGTCAAGCGCTGATGCCAATTGGTGCCAGCGATGAGAAGGGCACTGCTCCACGAGATCAGAGGCAGAAATGCACAAACTGCTCTCACAGGGGACGCTGAGCAGCTGCCGGATTACAAAGATCTCTGGCCCCTCCTGACCCGGGCCAGATTTGAACCATTGACCTAGAAGTGAAAAGCTTGAAATCCCCGCACAAGCCACGGGATAAACAGGACTCGCAGGGCCCCATTCGCATTCACTTGCTGCCATCTAATGGCAGATGGAGAGTGGAAAGGCCTCAAGCAGTAGAAAACAATATGATATCACCCTTGGGACTCGGGTAGGTGGTAAAACCTGCACAGATGGTTCTCATCAGAGTGCTGGGGAAGCGAGGGGACTTAGGCTGGTTTCATTCCTCTGCTGTGCTGCAACTCAACACAGAGGAGTCCCCCTACAAACACCAGGTCTTCACACTGCTTGTGCTCTTCTCTGCAGGGTTGTTTCCATACAGGAAACCTGAGGGAGAGTCTGTTATTGTACCCTGGCTCAACAAGTGACCCAATGGCAAAGGCAACTGAGAGCTGAGTGCCTACAACAAGGGGAAGCAATGAGAAAAAGAAGGTAGGAGATGGCACTTTTAATTTTTCTTAGTAACACTGGTGCACACAAAACATCTGGACTTTCCAGAACTTTGTATCAGAAGGAGAAGGAGGTGGAGATTAGAACAAAATTAACATAACTATCTAAAATTTATTTGGCCTGGCCCAGCAGACAATAAAGCTCACTTTCCTTCAAATATTACATAAAGGAAAACCAAAGAGAAGAGACGTCTCCTTCTCCTTCTCCTCCTTTACCAGCTCCAGCAAGTTCCTCCTGTTTTCTGCCTTTAAACCCTCAGATTTATAATGTAAAAAGTATTGATGATGTATCAGTCTTGCACTGCCTATTTCTGTCTATGCACATATCTCCAAATAATTCTTTTAAGCCATGCTAGCTAGCACTGTCTCACAGAGGAGAAAGGTTAGAGAATGCAAATTTCTTTATGCATCCTGAGCTGCAGCAGGTGGGTATCCAGAGGGATGTCCCATGATGGGAATGCAGCCTGATGGGCCATGCAGCAGGCTCCAGCAGCCTCAACACAGCCCCACTGCTGACATGGGAGCTTGCAAGACACAGGAGTCCAACTAAGTCTGTGACAGGGCTAACTGAAGTAATAAATCAAGATTTTTATTTGAGAAATGTCTCCAGTAGTCCCTGGTCACCCAAGAAATGCCATTTTATAGGAGAAAACTGGGAAGAAAATAAAGAAATCACATCTTCAGACAGAATACTGAAGAAAGCTGTAAAATTCCACTCTTCTTGGCTGAGGGAATAATTGCTGGAGAGAAAGTCCAGTTGTGAAGCAACATGGAGGTGACAAAGGGAATACTAATGTTATTCTTTTTTTCCCTGCTGAAGGAAACAGTCTTCAAAAGCCCTGTGGGTAGAAACAGAAATTAGTGTATTGAGCCCTCCCCTTGTGACTGCTGGTGCTGCCTGAACATCTCTGAGAGAGCAGAGGAAAGAAGCACGTGTGAATTGCAACTCAGGGGGAAGATGATAAAACATTTCGGCATGAGGTGGCTCAGCTTTGTGCCAACAGACACTTCCCAGGCTGCAAGGAGCAGCTGAGCTGTCCTATCCAAAGGGTCACTGCAGCTCTGTTTGCAATCAAGGTCCAGCCACTGCTCCCTTACGTCAAAGCCAGGACCTATCCACAGTGTTACTGCACTTCTGAGAAAGCGCAGCTTTGTGCTGCTGCTACCCAAATACACCCCTGGGGATGCTCCAGGGACTGCAGCCGGGGACATCAGGTCATGACACAGACAGCTCTGGCAGGGCTGGGACTCATCCTGTGGCTGCAGCTCAGACCCAGGTGTGGGATCCGTGTAGAACAGTCGCATTCCTGGGCTGGAAGCGCCACCAAAGGGCCCTTGTCAGTCAGCTTCCACCAGGAGACTTTGTGCTTGCTCTGTAGATATTTTACTTCGGAGCTCATTGGTAAAATGATAGGAGAATACACTTAACAGGTCTAAAACTGTCTTGGCAACGTTGTTACTTTTTAGAACTGCGTTCCTTCCCCTCTTGTTTCTCACACCAAGACGCCGTCTTCTGACCGCTCTCAGGGAAGCATCAGTTGCAAAGTAAAGACGTAAAATTACACCAAGTGAGCTGAAATTTAAAGCCTTGCCCTTACAGAGTGACGTTCAGCAGGCACCGTGCACCCTTGACACGGAGCAGCTGCAGGGCTTCGTTACTGCCACTTACCAAAACCTTTGCTCCTTTTGGTGCACCCTGCTTTGAGCCAGGGGCACCGTTTTATCTGTAAGAGCCCTTTAGCATAGCATGACATCTGAGAGACTCCAGCAGGATATAAGTTTGCTCTGCTACTGAGGTATGATTTAATGTCCTCAATTGTTCTGGAAATTTGAGCTGCATGATTCAGGAGACCTGCATGAGTATGGTCACTCCAGTGCTTAATGAGATTTATGTGCTTAAACGTGATGGATGCTGTAATCACATTTCTAACACGCTGATTCAGACCGGGAGGGGGAGAAAACCCGAACCAAGGGGAGCTGTGCCCTGCCGGTGCCGGGGGCAGGCGCTTGCACAGGAAACTCTCAACACGAGCTCTGGCAAATGCCAAAACGAGGAGGGAAAAAACCCAACAAAAAACACCGCGAAGAACCCAAACAGAGGAAACGTCTTTCCGCAGCTCTGAATTGCAGCCTCCTGTTTACGCTGCCCACGCTGGAAGCTGTCTCCCTTCCCCTACCACCCTCCCTGGGCTCCGGGGGAGAGCGGGGGCGCTCCGGGAGCGGCACCCGGGATGCCGGGGGGCACCGGGGGGCACCGGGAGGGCTGTGGCTGTGCCGGCGTGGCGGGACGTGCGGCAGCGGCGCTGCGGGCTCGGCGCCGGGGCCGGACCGGCGGCTGCCACTCACGGCGCCGCCTCCGCCTCCCTCCGCGGGCGGGGGCCGGGCTCGAACCCGCGGCCGCCGCGCCCCGATGTGGCGGGAGCCGCCCGCGCTCGCAGCGCCCCGGCCCTGCGGGGACAGCCCCGGCCCCGGCAGCGCCCCCGCAGCACCGCCAGCCGGTAAGAGCACGGACGGACGGACGGACGGGCCGCGGATCCGCCGCCCGCACAGCCGGACTGTCCTCCTCATCTTCCTGCCCATCCTCCCTCCCTCCATTCCCCAGCGGTTATTGGGGCCTCCCAGCTGTTCCCTCCGCTCTCCAGATGTTGGGGCAAGAAGAGGGCTGGTCCTCCCTGGGATAGCGCGGGGCCTCGGGGTGTTCCATCCTGAAAAGGAGAGCATCAGGGAACATCTGGCGGAGGTTAATCCCGATGAGGGCTGGCTGGCAGGAGGTGATGGGTGAAAGACTTGGGGCACTGCCTGGGCCAGCAGTGTGAGTGACAGCTCCATCAAGAAAGGAGATTTGATGGCAGCAAAAGGGCTACTGGTTAGGATGTTGCATGTTTATTTTTTCTTGTGAGATGCTGTTTGGTCGTGGCAACTTCTCTGTGGATGGATGAGTAATGTAGTGCATGTGTGTCAACTAAGGCACAAAAGGAAGGAAAAGTATCCAGATTAGCACAAAGATCAAAGAATTGTCTTGTTACTGAGGAGTGGTGGACAGCTATGTAGTAAGCATAGTACACACCTGGATGCTGGTCCTTTGCTGGGCTATGGGACGCTAGGATATAATAAAGTAAGCTGCTCCCATTTCTTGGCCAGGGGTCAGGTCCTGAAAAGGGTTGGATTCTGCTGGGCTCATAAGTTCTTTGTGACTCCCAGTGTGAGAGCTGGTGGGTGAAGAGTTCAGGCCCTGTGCAGCACTGTTCTTCTGGGCATTCTCAGGGGAGCAGCCAGGATGCACAGCAAGCACTGCAGCATGAACACAGGCCTAGGAAGGGATGCTACTATACAAAGGGAGATTGGTTCCACACTATACAAAGTTGAAGGTAAACTAAGTACTAGTATTGGTGCCAGCAGAGCATCCTGGGTTTGGGGAGCGAGTGATAGTTTCCCTTCAGGTTAAAGGACTGCACACAATGCCAAAGAATTTCCTGTCTCTCGCCCACCTGATAATTCTTTTTGTTATCTCTTTGTTTCTGACTTTGTTTTTCAGAAAAACTGTGATCCAAGAAAGCCACCATGAAGGGTGAGGAAGCTCGGCAGAGGAGGAAAGAGGGCAGGTCCAGGAATGGAGAGCGACCCCGGCACAGAGGAAAGAGCAAGGGTAAACACAGGGAGAGCAGGCTTGGCAGCCAGGAGCCAGAGGATGTCTCTCTGCAGGCACAGCAGAAGCTGCTGGCTGAGGAGAAAGCAGCCATGGCAAAGGCACAGGAGGAGTCAGCAATCTCAATCTGCCTGCAAGTGCTCCTGCCCTACCTCCTGGCTGGGCTGGGCATGGTCTTGGCAGGCATGGTTTTGGATTATGTTCAGGTAAGGGGAAGAAACTCATCTGACATACCTGCTGTGGGATGAGTGGGGGACTTTTCTTCACAGGCAGGGGATTTGCTCTGGGAATGGCACAGTCAGGGAGGATTTGCAGCGGTTTGCTATGCCAGCATGTCCCTCAAAGTCAGCTGTTGTGTACTGTGCAGCTCTCAAGAGGCTTGTGGTGCTTTTCTGGTGCCTTTCCTCCTCCGGATAAAAAAGAGAACATAGTACTAAAGAGTACATAAGGATGATTAGGAATGTGAACTCCTAATTGATTAGTGATCAGGAATATGCAGAGATGTCCCCTTGGTCCTGGGAAGAGGGTGGCTGGGCACAGCCTGGGATGGCACAGTGCTTTCCTGCAGCACACACAGAGGTGACATCACTCAGGGATGTAGCTCTGGACAGTCCCGCACAAGGCATCAGCCAGCCCAGCACTGTTGACATTTCCCACAACAGCTCAGCCCTGCCTGTGCACCACGTCCTTTTCTAAGGCCTCACAGCAAAAGACTTGAATTTCTTAAGTCCCATTTCTGACCCTGTGATCAGGATGAGACCTTTCCTCCTATGGTGCAGCAATATAGACCTTTAAGGCAATGATCAGCACCTAATTTTAGGCAGTTTAAAGCTGATTATAAACTGCCATGCCTATGCACTCTGGGTTCCTCTAACAGCCTGCCTTTTTGTTAACCTTGTCATTTGACTAACTAGTGAGGTCAAACTACCCTGACCTATCTGATAGAGGGACACAGAAGCTTCAGTGCTTACACTGACAACTTTCATAAATGTGGAGCTGTGTTCCTTTGTCATTAACCCAGGGCTGATCTCCCTGAGCTAGAAGAGCTATAAAGGCTTAGGAGTGACACAGTATCCTTAACTGACCTCAGCTTGTACTTGATACCCAGCAGAATGTCTAGTCAGATCCCAGAACACCAGGCAAATGCAGAACCCACTGTCAAACTACTTTTTGTCTCCTTAGGCATCATTCCCAAGAGCCTTGAACACTGAGCAGCCACTTCTGTTTTTATTTTTTAGACTTTCTAGAGCTGCCTGTTCCAAAGGATCTCTGACATTAAATGTATGTTTCTTCCTACTGTGAGTTGTTAAAGTGTGAAATTAATTGCAGATGGGTTTGTGATGTTGGAGGAGGACTTTTCCTTCAATGTTTTTTTCCTAGGAGGAGCTGAGCCACTAATATAAACAGAATGTGAAGCAGACCTCATTCTCCTCTGAAGCTGCAAAAGTCTGTTTTCTGTTTTTTGCAAGTACAGAGCTCACTAAAAGCCATCATAGCAGTGCTTAAAGTACGGGAAATCAACCCATGCAACATGTCATAGGAAACGTGGCTTTTGGCAATGAGCACAGTGGCTGTTTGTGAATACCATGGACTGCCTGAGCACATCTCAGCAAGGACTTGCTGCTGCCCTTCCTTCCTGAGCCAGGCCTGGCCTTTGCTTGGCTGCTGCTGTTGTTTCTGAGAGTCCCTGGGCCCCAGGCACTCTCCATCTGCTGCCTTCCATCTCTCCACAAAAGTTGTCTCTGCCCTTTCCTAAAGTGGGGAGGAGAAGAGCAAGGTTAGAAACAAGAATTCACTGCTTGGTGCAGCAGAGAGCTCCCACAGTCAGGGGTGGTGGTGCTGGAGCAGCTGGGATGTGCAGTCCCTGGACAGCACCATCAGGTTCTCCTGTGAGCCCGTGGTGCTGGCACAGTGCTGCCAGCACTGCCACACTGTGAGAGCATCCTGGCAGTTCTGTGTCTCCTTTGCAGGGATGACAAGGTAGGGATGAAACTGTGCTCTCAGACACTTGCTGTCTGTCTGTTCTGATGTTTGTACTGTGCCAGTGGATGGGGGATCTAGATCAGGGTCAGGGCTCACCCAAGAGGCTGTTGGTGCTTTGGCTCCTCCAGGGCAGTGCTGCTTGTTGGCTAGCTGGCAACACGAGGATGTGTCTGTGTGCAGAACAGGGCAGCAGTGCACCTCTCCAGGTTTTGCCATCTTGAGTGGCACAGCCATGAGCTGTTGGGGTTTTTTTTTAGTTTTTTCACTAGCTAGGTCTCCAGAATTCTGCCCCCAAGGCTTCCAGTTCATGTATCAGAAATAATATCAATTCTCTCTGGTCTTGTGTCTTTTCTGTGATTGCTTCTTGCACCATGGATCCACATGAATACCAGTCACAAATTTACACTTTGGAAGTTGGATACACCCCATAATAACAGATTATTGTTAGTCAGAAGCAATTGTGTCAATTCTGGAGACTACAATCCTTTTCCCACTGTTGAGCAATGCTCTCTTTCTTCTCATACCTGATGTATGTTGTCTGGACAAATAAGGTATATTTCTTTACCAGGAAAATGTGATGCATCTCTCTGCTGGTAAATATGGTGGGCTCTTTATCAGAGGCTTCTTAAATGCATAATAAAATGGCCCAGTGTACACACATGGGTCACCTGAGCCAATTACCTCTCTGCATACTGATTTATCGGTTGAGGGCTTTTTATGGTGCTTGCTTAGAAGGAGAGAGATGGAGCGTGATAAACTCATAAACCCTGTCAGGCTGATGCTTTAGTACAGGATGTGTTGCTGCTGTGTTTTTTAATGTCATTTGAGTCATTCAGTCCCATTGATATTTCCTTTACATTAATGCTTCTGCCTGTCATCAATCCACTTAGCTGATACAGTGACATATGGGACTAGGTAGGCACATTATTAGAACTGGAAAACCTACTTTTTTGTCCAGAAGTTTTGTCCAGAAATTGTCTTTTATTTCCTTGAAGCCTCTGCCAATGGTAAGCTAGAACTGGGCCTTCATACTGTCATTTCTCTCTTCCCAGCTGGTATAAAGAGGTTGGGTCATGTGTGGTTATTACAGGATTTTTATTAACCTGGCTCTTCCAGATATTGTGGGACTTTTTTTTTCCAGTTAGATTAGCTGAAATGTGCTCTCCTGTTAGCTTTCAGCTAACTGGACCATTGTTAGGTCGTGGAGACACTGTACATACCAGCTGGGAGTGGAGAAGCTTTTAGGGGCTGTACCAAAATAACAGCCTAGAAAGCAGCGAAGGACAGAGCCTCTGCAGCTCCATTTGTTTTCTGCCCTGCTTCCAGGGAGATCTGCTCTGTCACCTCAGCTGCTGTGAGCTCAGACCAAAGAAACACTGCCTGAATGGCCGAGAGCTCCCTCAGTTCCCAAATTAGCTGTGAGCATGTCATGTTCTCTCCAACTCCCCCGCAGTGCTGGGGACCCTGTCACAAGGACAGAGTCCACAAGCCTCTAGCCTTTTCCTCTCTGCAGGGAATCTGAGGGAAGGGCTTGACCTATCCTAAAAGGTGGTTTTAAAAGCTTTTTGACCCTCTGATTCAATTAGTTTGCCCAAAATAATTATTAGAAAGGAGCCTAGGCATAATACCATGACTCTTTTCCCTGAATGCCTGACTTTGAGCTGAAGCATTTATGGAGCAGGATACAAATTTTTTTGGCCATATGTAGCAGGTGCAGCTCTGATTTTTGACCTTGTATAGGCTCCTTAACCATGAATTTATGAGGTGAGACCCCCTTTTTCAGACAGTACTTCCCAGGAGCATGCAGGAGCAGCATGTTTCCTTCAGAGCAGGAAGGGTGACCAGTTCACAGCGTGCCCTTTCTCTCCCTTGCCTGTCGTGCAGAGAGATTATGGAGCTACCTTAAATGAGCTGGGCTAGGACTCTTATCTCGGCCTCTGCAAACTAGCAGAAAGTTGAAGTGATGACAGCAGATAAGGGTGCTCGCTTTTGAAGCTTATTGGCTGCTTCTCTGAACTTTTTTTCCCCCTGAGAGCCAGTCATTCAGAGCTACAGCTGGCACAGCCCGATTGTTCTGTCCCACCGAGACCATGGAGCGGACACGAGGGACTGGGGTTTAGGAGGGCAGATCCTGTGTCACCAGCAGGCTCAGCTGTGTCACCTGCCTGGGGTTGGGGTCTAGAAGGGCAGATCCTGTGTCACCAGCCGGCTCAGCTGTGTCACCTGCCTGGGGACAGGACCTGCGTAACGCCGCCGTCAGCTGAGAGAAGCGTGGGCTCCTGCTCTGCTTGACCTTTCTTCACCTTGGAGAAGTGCAGCATGGATCGTGGTTGGTAATGCCCCACCTCCTCGGCCTCGGGACAGCGAGGAAAGTTCAGCAGAGCCTGTGGTGGGAGCGGGGAGCCGGGCTGGTTGCTGGCAGCAGCTTACACATTAAGCCCTGGTAGCGAACACGCGCCGCGCTCTGACAAGAAATGTAACCCGAGGAGAAAGGACACCAGTGTGTTTGAGCACGCTGAGGGATTCTTGTGTGACTTGTTACTCTTTCAGTGCTGTAGCCTGAGCAGGTCTTACTGGTTTTTACCGAAGTGGTGGGAGCTGAATGGGGTGTGGGCTCGTTTCTATTCGTCCACAAGCATCTCTACAATCCTCTCTTCTCTTTTTTAATTCCCCCCTGGATATAAATCAGAGAAATTGTGTCCATCGAGTTTGCTGCCACCTGGGCTCAACCCAGCTGAACCAATTTTGGAGGATACCCTTGCTGCAATCGTCGGGACGTGCTCCTAGGAGGAGAAGAAACTAAAGGAATTTGGCATCGTTGCTGTAGTTTGAGGAAAAACATTCCTTCTGGCTTTGGAGAGAGCTGCAGAGAGGATCTGTGTCATGTCCTGATCTCCCTCCATTTTCCTGCTGAGCATGGGGTAACAGTGTGTGACCATGGTGGTCACCCAGTTACAGCTGGAACTGTGCTTCCATGGCAGGAAGCTGAGAGGTTTCACCTGCAAGCTGACCAGGTCAGCCAGTGGATTTCTCCCAGAGACTTCCTTCTCCATTGCCTCCCAGATTTTTGTGCCATTCCTCCTGGCTGGCTTGGGAATGGTAGCTGCTGGCCTCTTGATGGATGTTGTTCAAGTAGGTACCTGTAATTAGGGTACTTGTAGTGAGAGGGTGGGCTTAGGCTCTGACCTTGAGCATTTGAGTTGTTTGTTTTTAATGAGTGTGC